GTAGGGTAGGTTGCCGACCAGTCTTCTTCTACTTACGCTGTCCTGGGCCTTCCTTTCTAGTTCTGTACAATTGTTGTTCATTCTTCTCACGTCTATCTCCATTTCTCGATGCAATGTATTTTTTGGTATTACTCTTGTACTTTGTCCGTGAGGATTCTAGGTGCGGACGTGTCTTTTGACACAGCTGGGTGATTTCGTGAATGTGTTTCCTCCAGTGCTTCTTCCTGACATTTTCGTTGGTTCGAATCTGGTTTGTTTACGCCCACAGAAATTCGCTGTTGATGGTGGCTGGCCAACCAATCCTCAATATCTTGTGTATACAACTATTCGTGAATACTTATACTTTCCAGATGATGGCCTTCATGTTTCTCCAAGTTTCCGTCGCATACAGTAGAACTGTCTTAACATTTATACTGAAAATTCTAACTTTGTTGTTTGTTTGATTGCTGTTTTAAGTTCCAAATGTTTTATCCACTAATAGAAATGCCACCGTTGCTTTGCGGATCCACTCAACCTGCTGTTATTAAATGAAAACGTCTTACAATTATTTCATCTAATAACTACAGATTCAGTCAGTCAGCCAGTCAGATGTAACGTAGAACTTTGTACGTAAGTACATCAGTTCAGGTTGCCATAACACATTATTAGCACAGAGATGTAATTGTCAATTCAAATCCAATAGTAGTAGAGGTAGTAAAGGTATTAGAAGTAATCGGAAAGGTTAAGGATTAGAAGATATTATTCAAGAAGTATGATTCAATGAGATAAGTTTATGAAGACAAAACTAAAGGTGTTGAAGAATCCAGAAGATTAGGATTTGAGAGAACACAGAGAATAAATGCACCGGCGTGATTGTAAATGGTTTTGAGACATGTCAAATAAATACAGATTTACACAAATGACATGATTTTCAAGTACATTTATCGTTTGAAAAGAGTTCTTTTTTTGTCACAAATCTACATCCGATTTAAAAATTAAATCGAAGTCTGAATAACAACACTAATGAGTTCTACGAGACTGTAGTTTTGTGAACTCTTCAAAATGTACATGTATTCATTAGAAATAAATAGACTGAAAATCTCGAATTGCGTACTAGAATTTTAGGTCAATAGGTCAATAGGTCAGACAATCAGTCAGTTGCAACGTAGAACTTCGTACGTATGTACATAAGTTCATGTTGCCATACTACATTAGCACAGAGAGACGCAAATATCAAATCAAATCTCATAGTGATAGTAGAGATAGTAGAGGTATTAATGGTAATGAAGAAGACTATGGGTTTGAAGATATTATTATTCAAGAAGTACAATTCAATAAGATAAGGTTAGAAAGACAAAGGTAGAGGTGCTGACGATTCCAGAAGAACTGGGATTTGAGAGAGTACAAGGAATGAATGCACTTGCGCCTTTGAAAACAATTGCAAAATAATATTCACTCATATTTACATTGATGAATGACGATTTTATTTATTGGAACGTTTGAATTAAGTTTTTTTCTGATTGTTTAAAGCATCAGTGATAGACGAGGTGGATCCGATGCTGACATCAAGAGACAGCATTTCTAAAATCCAGCAATATCTGGAACTCGTAACAGGTATAAACGAAAATCCGAAAGTTACAGGTATATATCAAAAGTTGTTTACGCATAATACTGTAAATCTGTTGATCTGTAATACAAATGAACGTAAATATATCAATTTGATCTGCTTGAACGAGCTTGGACACGACATGCTACTCTAATCCGAGTGTTTCAACCCCGCTTGAATAAAAGGAAAAGACTTGATATGAAGTTGAACCTGTATTCTGAAATCATCCAGATAGTACAAGATCCGAGTCCAGAAGAGAATCAGGATCCCGGACAAGGGATCCGGGTCATAAAACGTTACAGATAATACGTATTTATACAGTTAGGTCGAACGGGAAACAACATTTG